CAATCACAATTTTAGAACAATATGTGTGACTTAAGAAACAGGGAAAACAAGATTATGGCAGTCGGTGTCAAATATGCAAAGGGATGGCATAAGGTGTTTCATTCATTTAAATGATTTTTAAAATGTCGATAGTGCTAACAAGATTATAAATGAAGCTATTTCGATGTCTTGCTTCGAACAGAAAATAAATGCATGTTAATCTTACACCATCATAGACCGCTAAAAGAGGGAAAAACTAAGTTAGAACTTCGTAATTGTTCTCAACTTGTTTCGTTTTACAAAGATGTACAAAGATCACGTCTGATAGTTCTATTTGACTGACTTTATATCTTAACCTACGATTGACTTTCCAAACTTTCCACTGTGGACAATTATCGTTATTTTTCACTTTGCTAGATTAAAAAGTTTATAAGTTTTACTGCAACGCTGATGTATTGCTCCAAAATTGTTTGGTTTAAGTCATTTACTTAGTTTAATTTGTTTTATTGGAATGTATTGAAAATGCTTCTGTAAAAACATAATTATGAAGGTCTATTTTTGAGAACGCTTAATTCAAGGCGCTGAAGGAATTTTCCTAGAGCGAATAGTTTGAAATAATGATTTTTACCAAACCGTATTCATTTACCGGATTGTATTAAATTGTCGCCAAGGCGTATAAAACTTTAATATATCATTAATAGGACACATTATTATCAATCGCTTACTAAATCGCTAGAAAATTTGTAGCACCATTTACTCGGTTTCATTCGCAAATGAGAAAAACTTGCTGAATTCTAAACTCAATACAGTTGGTATATATCTATATTTATTTAAATTAAATCATCCTACAAAATCTTTTAGAGCAAATCTTCTTGAATGACGTTTTCAAATTAGGTTACCAGGACTGCAGACGTACGAAGCGATTATTCATCCTTTGCCGTGCAAAGGATAAGCAAAGGCTTAGTACGACGGAGAAACCGAACTATTTTTCTGAAAATTCCGTGGTCTTATCTCACATCTTAAGACTCGTATAAAAATTGTGCAGAAAAATGTTTCGGAAAATATTGCTTTCTTCGTTAATTGTGGTTGAGATTGTTGCTTGTAAGACGGTATTCTCATGTCTAATTTATATAATTAAATATAAAAGAAACGATTATATGAGTAAAACTATACCTAGTAGATTTTTAAACTTTAAAAGCTTAAAACAATATCGCGAAAATACGCCAAACGATCTCCTTTTTAGCAGATGCACTTGTATCGTTAGATAATACCATCGTGTCATACATAACGTTAGGAAAAATATTTAAAGTAAATACTGATAGTCATGATGGCCTTGCTACTTATGCACCTGCTCCTCTTGCACAAGGGCTCGATTTTGGAACCATTTTATTTATTCAAGCACCAGAGTGATCTTTTCTAACTTTCTAAAATAACGTTGAAGATGTTTTTTTGAAACTTGGATTTATAGGTTTGGAATTTCCAAATCCACCTAGAGCAAGCAAAGTGATTAATGCTCAATTCATCTCTATGCTTGCTCAGCAATAAACACTTATACGCTGATAAGTATTCTATGAAAAACTAAAAAGAATTACCAATACACAATTCAACCGAATAGCTGATTAAACCGCGGATAATTACACTGCTCCAATTTAAAAAGGCGCATCTGCCATCGGAAGAACCGTATCAGCATCGGATGAAAGCCATAATCCGCTTCGGATCTGATGCTTGCAGGAACTCGCTATTAGTCACGTCTCCGCGGACATAAATGGAATTTTCCCCAACTGACATAATCATGTGACAGGTTGAATTTAGCTTGTTCTTATGCGTATGTTGGCACGCCCGTTTTTTCCTTTTCTTAGTCGGTAAATTCCTGTAGGGACGATTCGGAGGTAATGTATTGTTACTATTATGGTTCTTATATCCTTACGTGGGCTGTTTGTGGTGAATCAGGGATTTTTTGAGGGAATTAATTCATTTTAGGATTTCGTAACTCAAAGGGGAAAATTAAGTCCTTTTAACACAACGCCATTTGTTTCTTCCGCCGTTAATAGGATAAGTTAGAAATATCGTAAGGAGTTCTTACATTTATATGTATAGTTTCATTTGATGTTCTATGAACGTTTCGTAATCAACTTATTTGTCAATTAAGGCCGTTTACTCTTGAATACTAATCATGTGCTGGCGTCGATCATTGTTGTCCAACATGGCGTCCAACGTTGTGTTAACTGATATGTGCAAATCTTAAAGCTCAATTTTATTACATAGATACTGACTCAGTCACAATAATTAATATGATACCACAAATATTAAATGCTATAACTAAAACAATCTAGCTAATTAAACGAATTATTATTTAATTTGATGTCTGTCATGGCTGTGTTTTACGATATTCAGTCTGGTTTAGTATTCTAGTTATTTAGTCTAAGCTATTTGCTAAATTGCCTATTGTTATACTAAATTGAATATGGATGCTCTGATACATATTCAAGTCGGTATTTACACAATCACTTGTTTTGTCTTTCTAGAGTTGAGAAGGCATTTGAAAGCAGCTTCGTCTGTTCTGAGGAGTGCTTTTCTATTAATAATAATCTTTGAGATATTTATTTTATATTATAGCGTTGTATAATTAAATTAATATTTCTCTTAAGAAATATTTCAAGTTGATGACTCTTAAGCGGTTTAAGGTGTGTTAATACTGTTCGTTTTAGGAATATTAATAATAAAATACAGGACATACGCAGAAAATACCAACTGCATAATTTAAGACGATTGTAGGTACCTATAGATTCTATGTAGGTGGGGATTGCATAAAAGTCATGTTTTTTTTTGTTCTGAGGCAGACAGGTTTATTTGAAATTATTTCGGTAAACATTGGAATTTCTATAAGTTGGAGCGGCTAACGAGAATAAGGTTAACTTGTTGGTAAGCAATCGAGGCCGCCCATGGAATACCCACGACACCTAAGAAGTTATAGTTTTGTTGCCGACCTTTTGTAGGATTTAAGGATTTTTATGAAGATTGAGGATCTATTTATACCATGACTGTCAATCCTGTCATATTAATACAATCAAAGATTCTTTCAAAGATACTTTTGATAAAGAATAACAGCTGTATAATAAGAATATTAAGAACTAAGTTTCAAAAGAAATAGGTACGTGGCCTGTCACCCTATCACATATCTAGGTACACAGGATTACTAAGCTTAGGCTATGATATATTATGTCCCAAGATGTTTCCCAACAGGTGTAATCTCTAACAGAATAAGGGATTACGATTGGTGTTTACAATAGAATCCGTGTTTGGAACAAGTGGTTGGTTTAATTTTGATGGAGTGCGATACTTATTTTTCTTTGTATATTAATTAATCTTATAATATGCTCAAATTCACCATTTTTATTTAGTTGGGCCATTGACTTTTTTAAACACACACATTTTTTTTTACCTAGCACGGTGATTGTAATAAAAGTTTGATGCCTCCATGCATCTGCAGTATGTATTTCTCATTGTTTTTTTTTTTGTTGATCAGCCTATAAGTGCCCGCTGCTGAGCAAAAGGCCTCTTCTCACACGTAGAAGGTTTGAGCATTGATCACCAGGCTTGTTCAAGTCGGATTGGCGATTTCAAACATATAATTACAAATTTTCCTCACAATGTTTTCCTTTACCGTTTTCAGAGGTATATAAATCTTAGTAAGTACATAGTTTTGAACACATATCCTCATGCATGACGTGCAGGCATCGTAGAATCCGGGCCGCCACAATAAACTGTTATCTAAAATAATATTATAAATTCGAAAGTAACTCTGTCTGGTCTATCTGTTTGTCTGTATTTTCTTCATGTCTAAGCTTCTGAACCGATTTCTGAGAAATTTGGTACATAAATACAGTGAAACCTGGTTAAGTGAGACATCAAGGGACCTGCAATGTCGTTTCACTTATAGAGGTATTCCACTTACCTAGTGTCTCAGATATACCATTCCAGGTTCTCAGATATGCCATTAGGTTCCATTAATAGAGGTGAAAATACAGGTTATTTCAGTTATACAGGTATACAGTCAGTTATTCAGTGAAACTTATGTTAACTTAGTTTTAATAAAAAAAATAGTACTTAAAGGTAATCATAATCACAAACTTTTTCGCGTGTCTTCCCACTTTCATAAACGGATATTAACTTCAGTTTTTCACGTAATGATAACGATTGTAGCTTTCGTTTTGGCATTTTTCAAATAAACATCTGTATCATAGTAAAGCGAAACTAAAACTGAAGGTAATTGAAGCTCTAAATTTGTACTTACGTACTTGGAATTACGTGTGGAATTTGTGGGTAGAATAAGAATGAGTAAACAAACAATGTTATCTCAGTTACAGAGGTTTATGCATATAAAATTGACTCGCTGTCTCAGTTATAGAGGTAACTATGATGATAAATCGAAAGAACAAATCCCAGATATACAGGTTTGCCTCGTCCCACTAACAGAGGTAATTCAGTGCCAAATAGCTGGGACCTCAGCATGAGTTCCAGTTATGGAGGTTTCTCACTTATCCAGGTCCCACTTAACCAAGTTTCACTGTAGTTTGAAACTCGAGAAAGGACATAAGCATAGAGAAGACAAGGATTAGTTTTTATACCTAAAATCTGCTAGAAGTCACTATTCCACGCGAACGAAGTCGCTGGCCAAAGCCAGTTAACAATATATGTGTCGTATAAGTGAACAGGTCTAAACCGAATGTTGTTATATTTGGGGTATTTGATGCCTAGTCAAATTAAATATTTCTTTTTCGAATTTTTAAAATCGACAGCTTTACAAGACTATTACGGAACTGTGTCTTATGAAATCACGCTTCTTTGCATCAACTAACATTCTTGTTTGTCGAAAATATTAAGTTATAGGTATACTTATTTCTAAATTATGAGAATATCGTAAAATCAATTAACGAAAAAGGGATTATATTATTATTTTTTTCTTTGTAACAGTCGGATAGTTGTTAATATTTAATAATCTGAATATTTTTTTTATACAGAGAGAGGCAAGTGACGCTGAGCGGCTGACAATACAGGCGGCGACACAGACTGCGAGTGGACGGTATACATGTGAGGTGTCAGCTGATGCGCCCTCCTTCCAGACAGCGCAAGTACACACGCATATGTATGTCGTCGGTGAGTACATATTTTTCATTATATTGTTTACTAGCACTGCTCGCTTTGCGCGGGTGGTATACGTGTGGTATTAAAGGTACAGGTAAAAAAATGGCATCAAAAACCGTTGGGTACTTTTTAAGATTTAAGCATAGGGATATATATAGGTACAGAAAAAGTGTCTTTGTTTTAAACTATTAAAAATAACCTAAACTAACAAATAGTAACAATAGTATCGAAGAGAGCATGAAGGTTTGTAATAAGCTTACGAACCTTCATGCTCTCTTCGATATAAGCAAGTTCTGGTGACGACTTACCTCTTTAATAAATACCTTTATTTAAATTCAGATAAATATTGTAGTGATAGAAATTATGACACGCACGGATACTTAACTGTCATAACTGACAAGCTTTTTTTGCTAAACAGCTTATAGTTTAAACGTAGACAAAGAAATATTCATTAATTGTTCTGTACTCTATTGCTCATCATCTAGACGTTAGAAACCCGAAAACTCTCTTTCAATTATATTGTATTATAAATTGACCATCTCAACTTCCGTCCTTCCCACGTTAAAACCTCTAGGTAGCAACAACACATACTAAAAATATACCAAGTATTACGGAAAACGGTAAATCGCTTTAACTCGGCTACAGGCACACGCAATGTCGGCAGTAATCCTCCGAGTCGATTGATTGGTTCATGTGAAGGGTCAAGCACTAAATCAATGGCTCACAGTTTTAAACGACAGCCAGCGGCATCGTATCACTTGTTTAGCTTTAAAAAATCGTATTCGTAAACATTTTTGATCGATTTATGTACTGAGTTTAATAATTTGAATAGCTATAAATAGGTAACACACATCATCGACCTACGAGTGCCCACTTCTGAAGCTGAGCAAAGGCCTTTTCTCAGCTTTTAGCTTTAGAGCCTTTTCTCAGCTTTTAGCGCTTGCTCATGGCGGATTGGTGATTTCAAATAAGAATTGATTAAGTCCGGGTTGTCTCACCATTTTTCCTTCTCAGTGTCTAAATAATAATAGAAAGTACATTGAACTCTGAAAAAGTCACATTGGTACTTGCTAAGTTTCATGCACCTTCATGCATGTGAAGCGGGCGCCTCAAACTCCGGGCCACCACGACAATAGTATAATAGAAATAGGTACATAGATACCAGTCAAATTAGTTTATACGTTGCAATTAGACCTTTTTGACTGCGCGATATAGTTCAAAATGTTAAGTTATTGGTGATTCTCGATTTTTTCCCGTACTGTCCACGAACTCTAGCTGCTTACCTAACATATTATTATGTAAATCGTTTTATTTTTACTAAAGAATGCCTCGTTTATTAACTTGAACATTGGTATTTTTTCGGTTCAACCACGTGCAAAGGATTTTGTCTTTTTTTGATCAACTAATTATAGAAAGGTTTGACGATATGTAGGCAGGTAACTAGTGAGAATGGAAATATAAGGAACAAAAAGTGGGTGGGCTACTTTTTAGGAATAGCACGTGTAATACTAATACTTATATTTCACTATACATATAGCGACAAAGGATCCGTTGAACTAACTATTGAGAATGAGAATTATACCTGCAGTAATAGTCACTTCAGCCGAGGTTGTGAGACAAGCGAAATGAGGTACTACGGCCTCGGCCTAAAGCAGGAGAAGGCATGGGGTGTTAGTCAATTATGGTCTGACACTCCCTCTTTCCTCACCCTTTTTTGTCAGGGGAAAATCATCCAATGACTTCTCCCGCCCAGGGTAAGGCGAGAGAGAGTGTCAGACTCTTACTGACTAAAAACGCCCTGTTCCTTCTCCTGCTCTGGGCCGAGGTCGCGGTGCCTCATTGCGCTTACCCCGCAGCCCCTCTTTCCTCATCCTGTGCGAGAGAAGTCATTTGATGAATTTACCCCTCACAAAAAAGTGTAACCTCACTACCAAGATGGAATCTTTATGATAAGCCAGTCTTCTGTGAGGCAGGTTCTTTTTCATTCCATTCGTATCAAAGCATCAGCTCACACACTAAACTGTCCACGTATTGCGACAAAAACACAAACATAGTATAAGTACGCAAAACAATACATTACAAGGCTTTCAAGAACAAGCAGGCTAAGACTATGATAAATACTACTGAGCTTGGAAAAGGGGTCAACTATACCTTTAGACCTTATCATCACATAGTAGCGGGTCCATCCCGAAAGGTAAAGTACTCAATATTTTTCCTTTCTCCACAACCTAAAATACCTTTAGATACACAATGTGATAAAACTGTCTTCCAATCAACCCTTTCAAAAGTGACACACTTTATAGACTACAGACTCCAAGGGCCTTATAGCGCAGTAAAATACCTTAAGGGTGACACTGTTTTACGCCGAGCAATGCGTTCAGAACGTGAGGGTACCCTATTTATAGCTCGAAGGATATTTTCACATAGGAAAACTGCTATATAATAGATTTATTGGTGGCAGGAAAAAATAGATAAATATTTTTCTTATTACCTGTGTTGTATTTCTATTTTTTTTCAAGCGAAATAGATGTGATATTGTTTAAAAAAAAGTTATGTATTAGGGATGGAGAGACGCTGACGTGTTGTAGCGTGTGATTACCTGTAGTGAAGCGTTACAAAATGCTGGTTTCATACAATTAACATAACAAAAGAAGATTATGTCTCTAACCACAATCAATGTTTGCAAGGAATAAATGTTCGGGCATGATGATAATTCTCGACTTATATTTGTATAATATTTATGACGTAACGTGACGTTAACCTAGGTTTCCAGTACTGGCGTCTAAGTAACTAAAATAATAGAAGATAAAATATCTTGAAAAACAAAAAGAAAACATTATATTATCACAATTACCTTTTCAAACAGCAAAATTTGAGTATACAACAATTTTAATCAATACAACAATTGGCATCTGGTCAAATGCAATGTTGATTGTGGTTTGTGACGTCACGTTTATCGAGCGTCAAATAGCCCTCTACTTTTTTTAACTACCCGAAATAATACTAACAAATAAATAAAATTTTTATTTGAAAAAAAAATTTGCATCAAAAGGTTCATTTTAACACAGTTGAGTTTATTGACTTGTATTGATGATTCTCAAGTGATTCTATTCACTTGTTTCTCTGTATTTTTCCTTGTTTTAAAAGTGTGTTACGCTAATGATGATTGATGTTGACAATAAAAAAGGAATTTGGCCTTTATAAGGAACAAAACAACGTCCTTTTCCCTACATGTAAAAAAATATTTCGCATGCTTAACCCAGATTGGCGATTTTAAATGTATACTAATAAACAAGTATAGGAGAGCCATGGTTTCTATCTCATTGATACGATCACCTCATGTGATATCAACGTGAAGAAACACTTGTATTGTATTTTGTGTTGTTACAAAGGTTACCGGAGATTCAATTCTGTCTCCCATTTCCAAACGTCATCGTCAAATCAAAAATAATCGTCAAATCATTAACAACACAAAATAGGCTACTTATGCTCTGGATGGCGCTGATTGCTTACGATTTAATTATAAGTCTACTCTTTTATCGAGTTTTGCCGTAAAAATGCATAGAATTAACGTTTTTCTCTATGAGATCAGAATTAGTATACTCCTACATCTAAAATTCCAAGGCGTAATCAATTGTGTTCTTGTTTACCTATCTTTTTACAATTGCATGAAAAATCATAGTTATTAATACTTATGTTTTTTCTGTCCTGGATAAATTACTTACAATTTCTTTGTTGACTAGTCTAACAATTGGACCCTGTTATCTAATGTGAGCATCTTTTTATACTGTGGGGTCTGTCTAGGCATGTATAATGTATATGTACGGTTATGTCAGCGGTTAGGAGCAGTCGCTCACTAACCGCCTTATGTGTCGGTCAATATTAAATATTATTATTCGTATCTACGTACTTTCATTTATTAGCCCACAGAGTACCTAAAATACTAACATCTACCCATAAGAGACTAGAATACCTAATATACAGCGTGTTCTTGTTTAACTTTCCAAATAAATCTAAACTAGTGCCCTTGTTACGTTTTATCTGAGTGAAATATCTTCACCCTATTTGCATATTAAAGGGATGGTATATGGGCATCTATCAACGATGAACAATATCCATTTTATATGTAAGCTTTAATCCAACCCCGTTCACGATAATCCGGAAATTATCTGTACTTGAAAATGAATGAGATAGATCCTTTTTAGTAAAACAGCCGTACGTTATCAACTTCTGGGTGAAGCCTTCGTTTAAAGTTGAATTTAATTTATTTGAATGGCAGTTTTAGTTGCGGTTTATATGTTTTTAATTAATCGTTTCCATGCGTAATTTGTTTGGGTACGATTTTCTCTTTTACAGTTTGGTGTAATTTTAATTTTAATTTAATGTTTTTTGACGTATCGTTCGTTTTCTATTATTGAAGAAGATACTATAATTACTTACGTGCCTTTTTCTTTTTTACAAAGTTTTCAATCATTATCATCATCATTATATTTTATTATCTTCTTCCATTCTGTCCTGTCACCCGTCACGCAATCACTAACTCCTCTATTTTCCATATCACTTCTCACACAATCAATCCATATCATTCTTTGGTCTCCCTCTACCTCTCCATCCACCCACATTTATACTCATGGCTTTTTTTAACCGACTTCAAAAAAAAGCAGGAGGTTCTCAATTCGATTGTATTTTTTTTTTTATGTTTGTTACCTCAGAACTCAGTCGTTTATGGACGGATTTGCAAATTTTTTTTTATGATTGAAAGGATATGCTTCCAGATTGGTCCCATTCTTTTCAAAATCGAGTTTTGATGGTGGGATCTATGAGAAATCGAGGGAACTCCTCAAATATTATAGGCAACTATATAGTAATTTTAATATTTTCATAGAGCACTCAAGCATTTACAGTCAAAAAGTAATATTTGATGAGGTGGAACTGGTGAAGAAGATCAGAAATGGGGGATCAAACTTGACACTCGCATAGATATCACAATCAAGGTAGTTAAGCAACTATGA